GTTTGCTTTGGGTTGAAGAACTTTCTGTGGCTTTCTCTCCCCCCATGGAGTGCTGTGGAGTGGCGAGTAAGGGTTCTCTGTGGACAGGGAGGAGCAGGTTGCTGGGATGGGCAGAAGGGGGACGGCCTGCTGCAGCCTTTGACACCTCGCTGTCCCAAATCTTGAGTCCTCACAGATTTCAAACCTGGGAGCAATCAGGCTACACCCATGGCCTCCTGAGTGCAGGTTTACTTCTAAGGGACCTGGTTGATTTGTATTTACTCTCTAAGAGTGGCTGAGATTTCACTGTGAAGCCAAGCAGCGATTGAGGCCCAAGAGGCTTCTGGGGTGTGGGAAGTGCTGCGTAGCTAAGAGGAAGTGGAACGGCGTGGAGCTGATACAGGTCCTCCCTTCCCCTTTTCTCAGAACCCATGTCAGGAATGGAACTGGGTAAGTCTAATTCTTCTAATTGTGTGGGCCGAGAGCCCTAGAGCTTTTGTTGTGTGTGAGGACCCTTTATTTTTAATCTTTCCTTTTACAAAGCACTGGAAAGAACATTTAATTTTCCACCTCCAGTCAGAGCTCTGCTATACCTGTGCTCAGACAAGCCAAGGATTGCCACGAACATCTCTTAACGCATGAGCAATCCTAAAGAAGGGTAAATTCACAAGTCTCAGCCCCGGATCTCAAGTCCCCTCACCGTCTCCCGGGCGCTTGTGTTTGGCCAGCCTGTGTGCCCGCCTGGAGGTGCTTCCGTGCACAACGTGACGCTCCTTGCTTTGCACAGCCGAGGGTCTACGGGGTCTTAGCCCAGGACGGGCGCCGCAGGGCTGGCATTGGTTAGGGACACACTGGTGGTTTTGTTGAAGTAGCTTCTGTATGTCAAGAGCTACTTTGGTGTCCCCAAAGTCTAGACCAATGCGTGAAGCACAGTCAGTAGAAACATGAACTAGTGAAAGACACCCCAGAGGTCACACTGCCCCTTCCACACCCCAGAGGAATTCACAGGACACTTTCAACACCTTCAGAAAATGGTGACCAAAAGGAGAGCTCTGTCTGCTGGCGTGAGGGCACACTCAGCCCAGAAGTCCTTCTGGACTGACCAGACACTCTGGGACATGGAGGTCGTTATAAATATAGCATGGAAGGACACACAGAGATTTGCCTATTCGTTTATCAGAAATATTCTGTACAGGTAATACGTGGTAGCAAGAAGGGTAAGCACCGAGGATTGGAAGAAATAATGAAGGATCTTTGCACTCCTTCTTTCTAGTGTGGCAGAAGACATGGTAAGCCATTAAGTATTAGTGAATGAGTCGCTGTGGGACCCTACGACACAGGAGCATTGCCTTCGCACAGGCCAGCTCGGCGGCAGCAGGAATTCAGAGTACGTGGCGGGCATCAAGGGAGAGTTCTCCGGGTTTTGCTTTTGGAGGATCCAGAAGGGCCACAAGATCGAGTGTCTGCTTAATGCCAGATAACTTAGGTGTCTGTGGCTATTTAATTCTTCTAAGACATCAATAGTGTAGACATTAGACTGCTGGGTAGCGGATGGACTAGGGCTGTCTAGGCTGTCTGAGATTTGAGTGTGAGTGGTCTAAGGCGAGAGTCATGAGGTTCGATTCTTAGCTGAGCTAGCTACATTGCTTCTGTGATGGGAGCTAGGGACGAAGAAGGGGCCGGGGAAAGCCAGATGGATTCAGAGAAAGAGGGGTTCAAGGCAGAGTCGGGCAGCAGGCTGGGGTGCGCTGAGTCCCGTCAGGTGTGGGTAGGAGACAGTGTCTGTACTGAGGTGAGGAGTGTGAACTTGGCCTCAAATGATGGGAAGTTGACAAGGGCTTTTCTTCCTCTTTCTTTCTTTCCTCTTTTCTTTCTTCCCAGTTGGAGGGCCTGAACTCTGGGCCTGGGTGCTCTTCAGCTCAAGGCTGGTGCTCTACCACTTGAGCCACAGTGCCACTTTCAGCTTTTTCTGATTATGTGGTACTGAGGAATCGAACCCAGGGCCTCATGCATGCAAGGCAAGCACTCTACCACTGAGCCACTTTCCCATCCCAGGGTTTTTCTTGAATGTGGAGGGTGCTGGGGGGTGAAACCCAGAGCCTCATGCAGGCGGACAAGTGATCTCCCTTGAGTTGTACCCCGGGCTCTTATCTACAGAGAACCACAAAAATACAGTAGTGGTGTTGTGGCTAATGTGGTAGAGCACCAGCCAGCCTTTTTTTAAAATTATTTATTTTTATTGTGAAAATACTGTACAGAGGAGTTACAATTACATGGGCAAGATAATGCGTACATTTCTTATCAAGCATTGTAGCCTCCTCCTTTGTTTCCCCTTCTCATCTCTTCCCATCCTCCCCCCGCCACCAACCAGCCTTTTAAAAATTAAGCTAAGTTTTTTGTTTTTGTGCCAGTACTAAGTCTTGAACTCAAGGCCTAGGTGCCATCCCTTAGCTCATGGACTGTCCTATCCAGGCTGGCTTCAAACCATGATCCTCAGGTCTCAGCCTCCTGAGTAGCTAGGAGTTCAGACGTGATCCTCCTGTGCTTTTGAATACTAAACCCCAGCTCGCCCCCATGGCTGACTGGACCCTCCCCAAATCTCTAGCCCCCGTCCAGATTCAGCAGGCTATTATTGTGTTGCCCATTCTACATAGGACATGCTTGCTTATCGAGTGCTGGGTGAGTTGTGGTGCCTCTGCCTATAATTCCAGCAACTAGGGGAGTGAGCCCAGAGGGAATCAAGTGTTCAAAGGCGAGCCTGGGCAACTTGGTGAAATCCTGCCTTAAAGTACAATAAAAAGGACTGGGAATGCTGCTCCGTGGTAGGGTGCTTGCCTAGTACATGTGAAGCCCTGGGTTCAATCACTGCTAGTGCAAAACATTTAGTGAAAGAAAAAGAGAAAGAAATGTTTCTGGATTCTGTTCCCCTGGCAGTCCAGCTGTGCCTTGCAAGAGGGAACAAGGACACCTCCCGGTGGCTTGTGGGTTTGGCCCATCCTGGTGCACGTGTCCCTCTAGTGGGGAGGGACAGAGGCATCATGAGAATTTGCCCAGCTTTGCCAAGCTTCCTGGTCACAGCCTGGTGAATTCCTGCCTGTGAGGCTCAGGGCAGGGCTTCGCTGAGATTTCCCCGGCCCTTCCCGGGCTGCTCTGACCTGCACTGCCATGCTGCTGCTGCTGCTGCTGCAGAAAACCAGGGTTTCGAGCCAGAAAGGGAGCTCTGGCTCAAGTGGTAGAGTGCCAGCTTTGAGCAAAGAGCTAAGGGACAGTGCCCAGGCTCTGAGTTCAAGCCCCAGTGCTGGCACAAAAACAAAACCCAGCATTCCATGGGGCTGGAATCCCTTGGGAGTAGTCAGGAATTATAAGAGGTTTAGTGCTCCAGACTTGATTTCTACAGCAACTGAGGCCAGTTCACAGTAGGGAGATCACACCGAGCCGGTGTCTCCACAAGCTGTCTTGGGGGAACGGTGAACAGATGCTTTCTACATCTCCTCTCACAGCACAAGCCGTCTTCCAGTCATCTGTGCCTAGATGAAGTCTTTCCAAATCCTTGTTTAGGGTTTCTTTTTCAAGCCAACAGACATTTTTATCTGCCAGTGCCATCTGCTGGACTTGCTCCAAATTCTTTTCAGCGCGCGCGCGTGTGTGTGTGTGTGTGTGTGTGTGTCTGTGTGTGTCTCTCTGTGTGTGTGTGTGTGTGTGTGTGTGTGTCTGTGTCTGTGTGTGTGTGTGTTGGTTCTCAGAGCCTCAGGGCTGGCACTCTACCACTTGAGTCATACCTCCACTTCTGGCTTTTTGCTGGTTAATTGGAGAAAAGATGAGAAGAATCTCGCTGGCTTTTCTACCAGGGCTGACTTTGAACCACAATTCTCAGCTCTCGGCCTCCTGAGTAGCTAAGACTACAGGCCTGTCCCCGCGGCGCCGATCTTTTCCACTTCCTTCCACGACGCCGCGGTTCTGTGGCTGTGGGGAGGCCGGGGGCCCCTGCTGTGGGGTCACCTTCAGCTACTCCACCCCGACCTCCGCTCAGCACCCTGCCCGCACCTTGTCTAGGGTGTCTGCATCCCTGGGCCCCTGTCTCTGTGCAGGAGGGATCTCCTGTGGTCAGCCTTCCCTCCCACCCCCTAGCAGCATACCTGGGGCATAGAAAGCAAGTGGTGGAGCAGAGCTATAATGACTTTTGTTCTATCTGCCTCTCCCAAATCCATCCAGTGTGTACCTGTGCATGTATGAACATATATATATATATATATATATATATATATATATATATATATATCTCATGCTGTGTATAACATATCACATGTCATATGTAACAGGCTTCTTTATATACACATATATGTAATACATATGTAATGGGTCATGTTTGTACCACCTTGCCTGGTTGGTTCCAGTTCTTGATGCTCAGGATTGGTTTTAGTTATGATGCTGGTTTAGGAGACAACAGTGCCATCTGGTGGCCTAACTGGCTAACACCAGCTCAGAATGACTGCTGGGCAGTTCTAGTGTATTACAGTGCTGTATGTTTGGGTTGCCTGGCAGGCCCTGGCCCAGGGAGAGAATCACACTGGCCGTTCGGGTTGGTGGAGCCCTTTTGTAAGACCCCCTTAGAGAGCTGTCTCTTGCTGGGTGGAAAAGAATGAAGGACTCTACCTTGCTATTCCCATCTCGGCCTCCAGAGGCAAAGAAGACCAGGTGCTCCTGTGCCGTGGTGTTTGGCAATCCCAGACCCCCATGCCCCGCCCAGCTCCCCCCGCCCAGTCACGCTGGTTCCTTGGGGTCTAGGTGGGTTGGGGAAGGAGGGTCGTGTCTCTGGGACACAGACAGGCGGCGGCGGGACCTTCCTTGTCCAGTCCTCCAGATTTGTGCCCTTTCTCCTACCCCGTGCATGCTCACGTGACACTTCCACGGGGACACGTGCAGATGTAGTTTTGTAACTGCATTTCCTCACCTGAAGGACCTCCTGCGGGTTGGGAAGGAAGCTGAGAGCTAACGGCTCACATCCTGTCTGTCCCCAGCAGCCAGCAGAGCAGCCAGCAGAGCAGCCACGACGATGATTCCAGCAGGTTCCTGAGTCCTCGAGGCCGGGAGGAAAGGTGAGAGCAGAGGAGGGCGGGGTGGGGGGAAGGGGCCTTGGTGGGGTGTGGGCCGGGGTGAGATGGTGCTCCTCCTGTGGGAGAACTTTGGGAGACCTCTGTGTTTGGATAAAACCAAGGGCAGAACACGGTGGCTCACGCCTGTAAATCTGGCTACTCTGGAGGCTGAGACCTGAGGATCATGATTTGAGGCCAGGCGGCAGATCCCAGCCCCTGGAGTAGCTAGGATTACTGATGTGAGCAGGGAGCTTCTAAGCTCCTTAGGACTTGTTCTTCCCAGGAAGTCTGTGGACAGTAGGAAACTGGAGACCAGCAATGCGAGCGTGAGCCTGGGCGGGCAAGGCTGGCCCTGCGTCCTGCCCCTGGGTCCACGCATGAGGGAACGTGGGCCTTCAGGAAGGTCTAGAGGGGCTGGCTGACGCCCTCTTAAATTCAGTTAATTGGTTAATTCATTCATTTATTTAGACATACTGGGGATCAAACTCAGGGCTGTACACCTTCTAGGCATGGGCTTCACTAAATCCACAACCTTAATTGCACTTTTTTTAAGTGATACTGAGGTTTGAACTCAGGACCTTGCACTTGCTAGGTTGGTATCCTACCACCTGAGCCATGCCTCCAATCTGGCTTTGTGCTGGTTAATTGGAAATGGAGCCTAGTGCGCTTTTCTGCTCAGGTTGGCTTGGAATTGCACTCCTCTATCTCAGCCTTGCTGTAGCTGGGATTATAGGATGAGCTACCAACACTACAACACAGCTCCTCACTATAGTTTTCACAGCAACTTACTTCATTTTACTTCCCGTGAGTGCCCCTGTTTGTGGCGCATCACGTCTTGTAAGCCATGAAGAGGGGAAGGTGTCAGGCGGGGCAGGGGCTCAGGAGGTGCGCGGCCTGACCGTGAGGTCTGCTGGTGGGTGCAGTGAGTTCTTTGGCAGCAATCAGCACACGATTGATTTCTGCCTGTCCACTGGCCAGGGAGAGCTGGAAGGCAGGTGAAGCTCAGCACCGAGTGAGCGGCTGTTTGGAGGTGCCGGGGCTTTGGAGCTGAGGTCCCAGAGCCCGGGAGCTGAGGCCCAGCACGCACAGGCCTGTGACTTCCAGCTCCGTCCTGCCACTCTGATTGTGTGTGTGTGCATGTGCGTGCATGTGTGTGCGCGCGTGTGCGTGCATGCACGTGCCCACATGCGCCCGTGTGCGTGCCCGCTGGTTCTCCAGGGTCTTGTACTCTCCCTTAGCTTTTTATACTCAAGGCTGGTGCTCTACCACTTGAGCCATACCTCCACTTCCAAGAGTCATTTTCTTGTAGTTCTTTCCTCTGTTTAAGGCAGAATTTTGCTCTGTAGCCCCGGCTGGGCTCAGAACTTGGGATCTTCCTACCTCAGCCCCTCCAGAGTGCGGCATTACAGGCTGTACCACATGCCTGGCTAGGCGGGCTATCTCCAGTTCTGCTTGTTCTATTTCTGAAATGTCCCCACGTGCACATTTCTGGAGCACTCTAACTCCTTCCTGGCTGGCCGCTGAATTCCCCACGGTCCCTTCCCTGGTCGCTCAGGTGATGCTTCACCACGAGGAGGGGAGGATCTGGGGACGGGCCCTGGGCGCCCCCCCCTCCGCGCCAGCCGCTGACATGGCACCCACGCCTGCCCAGCACCCTCCGCCGGTGTGGGGACGGGAGTGGGAAGGAGGAGCTCTCCAGGTGCCCCGTGCTGTGGGAGGGGAGGGGAGGCTCTGCGTGGACCCGAGGCAGCGGGGGTCTGGTTAGCAGCAGACTGCGGTTCCCGGCCCGGGCCCTCCACCTGCCCAGGTTTCCTCTGGGGCAGCGGAGCAGGGCAGTTCCGTGTCAGGAGCCGGTCCTCGCCAGCAGCCGGGGCATCTGCAGGGGCCCAGCGAGCCACGAGGCTCCCCGTGAGCCCCGGCCGGCCGTGTGCCCCCCCCCAGCCCAGCATGGTGCAGAATCTGCGCGTGGAGACCGCGTCCTGCAGCGCAGCCGTCAGGCAGGCTTGCCTCGGCCGCGTGTCCTCCCTGAGGAAGAAGCTGGCCTTACTCCGAGCCAAGTAGGTGGCGGGGAGCCTAGGAGGCGAGGGGCAGGAGCAGGGGGCCTCCTCACGAAGGCTGGAGCGCCCCGGGGTCTGGCTGTCCTGATCGGAAGCCGGGCAAGCGCCTCATGAAGGGGCCGGGCCGGGCCGGGCCGGGAGAGTCTGAAGGGCCAGGCCGGGCTGGGCCGGGCCGGGGCTCAGAGGCCGCATTCTTAGCTTCTCTCATGGCGAATTACTTCAGTTGGTTAAGAACTTGGAGGAAGGACCAATAATGCTACCTGGGGTGGAATTCTAGGGCAGGCGGGAGTGTCTTCAGTAGTTTATTTTGATGGGCGCTGTCCCTGAGCTTTTTTGCTCAAGGCTGGCAGTCTATCACTTGAGCCACACCTTCACTTCTATTTTTATGATTATTTCTATTTTTATGTTTTGCTGGCTAATTGGCATCTCATGAACCTTCCTGCCTAGGCTGGCTTTGAACCATGGTCCTTAGGTCTTGGCCACTGAGTAGCTGGGATTACAGGCATGTGCCACTGGTACCCGGCTTTACTTGGTTTGTGTGCTTATTTGTTTTGTTCAAAATCATCTTACTGCTATGAATCTACCTCCTTCCCGAAACATGGAGATAATTATACCTATGTGGTAAAGATTGTGAGGATCGAAACAGGAGAAAATAGGGTAGCCCTGGGACTGAGCTGGCACACAGCGGGTGCCCACCGAGTCCTAGCTTTGGTTGTCAGCAGCTGGCGGGAGCCCGGGCTAAGCTGGGAGGCGGCTGGACGGCGTGTCTGGCGGGAAGAGGGGGTTGAGAGCTGTGGCGCCTGCTCCTCCGCTGAGTGGCAGCTACCTTGGGTGAAGAGATGGAGGTGTGTGTCAGCTTCCTGACCCAGCAGCCCGGCCCGACTCGCGGCCGTGGTCCTGACCCAGCAGCCCGGCCCGACTCCCAGCCGTGGTCCTGACCTGCAGCAGCCCGGCCACACTGCCCAGCCCGTGGCGGCAGGCACGCTCCTGCCAGCCGGGTCCGTGGAGGCTGCTCCCGTCCAGTGCCGGTGGTCACAAGCTTCGCCAACAACGGCCCCGTGGGATCCACCTCCACCTCCACGGGGCTTCTCCTCCCCAGACCTCCGCGGGGCTTCTCCCCTCACCCCATTTCCACCTCAGCCCTGAGCTCGCGCTGAGGCATCGGCTGGCTCCCCGGCCCGCCCTGGAACTCGCGGAGGGCAGGAGTCGGTGGGTTGAGTGCACGCTCGCTTCTGAGCACTCAGCAAGAGCCAGGCTCCGGCCAGCGCATGGTCGGGGCGCCTGCCCGGCCCACACCGCCTCCCCGCCAGCCCCCGCGGCCCCAGGGCGGCCCAGGCCTGGCTGCTGTCAGCCGACTGGCTGCAGGTGTAGCGCCACCTGCTTGCGTTTCTCCTACTTCAGCATTTCTCCTCTGCCAGAGAGGGGCTGTTAATTATAGCTCAGCAAAGTCTCTCCTCCCCCCCTTTCCTCTCCTCCCCTCCCCTCCCCTCCCTTCCCC